CCCCCCCCCCAAAAAAAACACGGCTGCCTTTAATTACGCAACCTCCACACATACCATCTCTCTTTCTTACACATTCCTTTTCCTCTAATTCACCGCTACAACTATTACTTCAACTTCAATTTCAAAACCCTAAAATAATGGTAAAGTGAAATAGGGAAGAAGCATACCTAAATCCAGTCTTGATCAGTGTAGTTCATGGAGAGAAGCATCGAAGAAAGTGAAAAGTGAACGGAATATAATAGTGAAGATGAGGAAGAAGAAAGTGAAGTGAAAAGGCAGAAGGAGGAAGTGGTTTATGAATTATGATGCGCCACACAAAGGGAAAGCCGGTATTCACCCAGCTTCACCCTTGGGGTTTGCTGTTTTCCATAGAGATATGCAAAAGCAGCTCCCGATTACTATGCCCTTAACCCCACGCTATTCAAAAAATTGATTCATTCTTACATTTTACCAAATTATTATTACCATTGCCTTGCAAACTCCATCCACCATTTATTTATTTATTTATTTATTTACCATTCACTGAAGGTAAATTTTTTTTTGATGGAGTACGAACTTTTAAACAAATTTATAGAGCTGTTTTCATATGTTTGATCTTAACACAGTGAAATCTGAAATAGCTCTATGTAGATGGAGTTGGGGTTGGATTAGAGTGCATTTGATAGGGGTGCGTTGGTCACGTGAGGTGGAAATTAAAAGCGAGGGAGAGTGAGTATCAGTAACATAAGTTGGGTGACAGAGAGAGTTGAGAGCACGTGGGAAGTGTCGGTACATCGGAACTTGGTCAATTAACCTTATGTAATCAATCTCAATCCATAGCGTTCAATGAATGGAAATGAAAGCCAATTACCCATGAGCCTACCAAATTACCCACAAACAAAACCATGTATATATGGGCATTGGCATTGGAATTACATTAAATAGAGCTAGACGGCAGATGCAGAAACAGTGCCGCCTTCCATAATAATAATAACCCCAAATGGGCATATTTGATCCCATGCATGCAACTGCAACTCTCTCCCAATGTCCCGCCCTCACCCCAAATTTATTCACCGTTTGGATTTTGATTACATTAGGAGGCCTGGAATTGGGTGGCTGGTTCATGCATGACACACCCCGAAGGAGGAGGAGGAGACATGCCCATCCACCCACCTTACGCCAACTTATGCCTACCCATATCCCATCCCACCTCTTCGCTCCTTTTTTCCTTTCCTCTCTCCCTCACAAAATTTTATTCAACAAAATCAATTCAAAACTCTCTAAATTTCAAAATACCTGTAACTAAATATCACTATTTGTTGGGAGGTTTGACCAGCCCACTTTTTAGTTACCAGAAATATTGTTTTATAATTGGTTGATTCCATAAATTTATATAATTATTGAGGGAATTGATAATGAAAGTGGTAGAGGAAGAAATTAAGGGGCCGGCCGTCCATGTTCAGCAATGCGTCCTTAATTATATTATACAAACAAGAAAGAAAAGAGCGTTGTGAATGTGTAAGCGATGACGCTAATTAATACAAAGGATCATTTTCTTTTCTATTTTGTTTCAGAAATTAAAGGCATGATAGTTTAAAATAATAAAAAGCGGCGAGGAAGGGACCATTTCAAATTTATTTTATGATTGTTTTCATATGTATAGTGGAGCCACTCAATTAGATTAGGGGGCAGATTAATTATTAATCCATTGTCGTATTCATGCATTACATTAGATTCCCACCACATTCACGTCTTCCTCGTCGGGTCGGGTCCAAGTGTACCCAACAAAAAAGAAAAAACCCTATCATTATTTAGCTGATTAACTTATACCAATATTAATAAATTTAATAGCCTGAAATGAAAGAAGAAATGACACAAATTTGACAAAAAAAAAATGAATGGAATCGTCGATTGGCAAGCCGTGATGGCCGCCCCAAAACTGCCACGCTTCTTCCTTCAGCTTTTGCCGAGCGGCCACGTGAAGATACGTGTGTTTACATAATCTCCACGCGTACCTCTACTAACTACTACTCGTCAATTATAGTTAATCGGCAAAAATTTTCATTTTCTTCAAATAAAAATTTATATCGTGTGATTAATTATGTAATAAATTAATGGTTGAGTGTGAAATTTCAAAATAGACCAATTACAAACTA